CGAGTGACAGAACATGCCTTTATAGTTTAAATAAAAATAATAAACTTTATTGGTACAAGTCCAACATTATTCATTGAGTATATACTAATATGAGTCATAGCGGTTCTACGTCATTGAATCGACATAGTTCATTCTATGTACCACATACTAATTTTCTACTTAATTCATTCATAATTGAAAACATCGATAATGGTCCACTTTAATGTCTAAGATAGACTGCATCTTATTCAAACAATCATGCACACAAATAAATGAACAAGAAAATATTCAATTTCAGAAAAAATGCATAAAGGAGCTCGAGATGTCAAATACATAAATATAATGTTTATTAAATTACTTTCATAATGCTCATTCTTTCAACATGTGCAATAAATGTTTTTCGAGGCAATCATTTAGTTAACGGATCCGCAACCATAAGATTGGTGCTAATATGCTCAATTGACATCTTTTTTTTTTTTTTGAACCTCTTCTTTAACGATAAGGTACTTTAGATCCATATGTTTTGCACCTTTAGAGTACTTGTTGTTCTTTGAAAAGAAGACTGCTGCGGAATTATTGCAATAAATTTTCAGTGGCTTGGCAATACTGTCGACTATTCCAAGCCCTGCAATAAGGTTCCGCAGCCAATTTCCTTGAACTGTGGCCTAAAAGCATGCCACAAATTCAGCTTCCATAGTGGACGCAGCTATGACAGACTGTTTCGCACTTTTCCATGATATTGCTCATCCGGCTAGTAGGAACAAATATCCAAAAGTGGATTTTCTGATATCAATACATCCGTCATAATCCGAATCTGAATAACCAACCACTTATTAGAATTATTACTTTCCATGGCTTGTGAAAATTAAGTTGAATCGTCATTGAGTCCTAAATCACATTCAGACTCTTGTAGGTATACCACATAATCATTGGAAATAGCAGACGGTCTTTGTCTTTCAGACCTTCGCAACACTATTTCACGTGGTTCATCTACTGCAAGTTCATTATCTTCATTGTGGGTCAACTATTCGTTAATTTGTTGTTCGTGTCCAGTGTTAGGTGCTTCAACAATAGGAGGAACAACAATATTATTAGAAGTCAGTGGTACAGTAATGTGCACCCTAACTTCCTAAATGCCAACTTTTCGTGATTCTTGACTCCCACTAACTTCACCATTCTTAATGAACTTTGCATTTCCAACTTCAATAATTCTTATACTATGATTAGGATAATAAAACTTATACCCTTTAGATTTGTCGGGATAACAAATGAAGAAACCACTGATCGTCCTTGAGTCTAACTTTCTTTCATGTAGATTATAAGCTTTTATCTCTGACGAGCAATCCCAAACATGCATGTGCCTTAAACTAGGTTTTCTGCCAGTCCATAACTCAAAGGAAGTTTTAGAAACTACTTTAGTAGGAATCCTATTTAATAAGTACATGACAGTTTTAAGCGTATGCATCTACAACGATATGGGCAGTGAAGAATTACTGAGTATACTCCTAACCATATCCAAGAGTGTTTGATTACGCCTTTCAGCTACACCATTTTGTTGTGGTGTACCTGGCATAGTGTATTGAACACATATGCCACACTTTTCAAGAAATTTGGCAAACGGACCTGGGCATTGACCCGATTTATTATATTTTCCATAATATTCACCACCTTTATCAAATCTGATGATTTTCACTTTTCTATCTAGTTTTCTTTAAACCTCATTAATAAACACTTCTAGAGCATCTACTGACTGAGATTTCTCATGTAATTGATAGACATAATGTAGTGTCCCGATTTCGGAATGTATGAAATAATATTATTATAGTAAAAAAATATTTTTATAATATTTTGGGATCAAAAAATTAATATTTTGAAAGAAATTTTATTCCTATTTTGTATATTGATTATAATTATGGAGACTGTTAAACGAATATGTATCGATAAGGATAAATATACAATATAATAATAATAATAATAATAATAATAATAATAATAATAATAATAATAAAGTAAACAATAATAATAATATAATATAATATATATATATAATAATAATAGTAATAATATAATAAAATATATATATACATACAAACAAACATACTCATTCTTACCGTGAGCAGAAGGGGAGAACGCAGGAGAAGAAGAAATGAGACGAAAAAAAGAAAGAAAAAGATTTAGTTGTCCGATTTCGATTCCGACTTCGGTATTGTATTCCTTGTTATACGTACAATTTAATTATGGATTTTAATATGAATTTCGATATTGGAGATATTATACTAGAAATTCTTCAAAAATTCATAACTAGCTATTTGACTATTTAATCGACTAATTTCTTTAGTTGATAGTCTATTTGTAGTCCTAGCGTTATATTTTGAGAATTTCGTATTGATCCGAGCCGAATTGAAAACGGCAGTGTACTGCACCTGTCTGTTTATTTATATCTTAAGTATTTTTATTTAATAATCGGGCGATATAAATATTATGAGGTATAAGAGTTTTATAGCCAGAATCTCGTATTCTACTCAATATAAAAGTTTGAAACCCAACGAGCTAATTATAGTAATTAGCTTTTGAATAAGTATGTAGCTCATATGAATAAGCATATAGCTCATCTGATTTGTGTAAATAATGGGACAGGTGTACGTCGGAGGAAATTTGGGTGAGATTGCAAAAGCTAGGGAGTGTCGATAAGAGGTAAGCAATAAGGAATTAAATCTAATTTTAAGAAATTAGGTTTGCATGTTGCATGAGATTCTGATTAATATGCTAATGTGATATTATGTGAATCATTTTGTCAGTGCATGTATATATTTATATATATATGTATGTGTATGCATGTGGGAGACTTCACGGTTTATGATATTTGATATAAATATTTGATCGCGTAGGTGAATTTATGAAAAAGAGGATAGGTGAGCTGTCTCACCAACCTTTTTCGGTAAATTCACTTATTTGACATGATGCACACATATTGCACAGTTTATCGGATATGTTTTATGGATCTATCGTTTAGTCGCCGTGTGCGGTAGTGCTAGGCGAGGGCATCATCTGGGGTTAGGATATTCGACCCCGATGTACCGTAACACTTTTGCGATAGTGGACGATAGTAGTCGGACAACTAGGTGACTTAGTCGCACCGCCATTCAGGGATTAGACCAATTGTAGTTGAGACGTATTTGGTCTAATCATTCGTGTTCGATGTTGTTCCACTCATTAGAGTAGCTACTAGTAAGGTCTACTGGTAGTTTAGGATCATATGCCAAATTCCAAACGTGATCCCGTTAGGGCGCGCGAGGAGGAGTAGAGTTTTCGGGTTTCCCTTGGGTGATTCCAGGTTGCACGGATTCTACTACATTACACGGGATAGGGCTAGTCAGTGGGGGTCGTATCTTCGCTATCACAGACTATCGGACGTCTTGTGGTTAATGGCGACAACGTTCGGCTATCCATGTATTGATTGTGTGAGTCGTATGGTGGGTATATGGAAGTGACCGGATGACCGTTATATTATTATGGGTTTATCAGGTCCTTCCTTGAGCCGAGGATTTTCCAGCTATTTAGTGATGATGGTTTAGTGAGCTTGTTATTACGAGGCTGAGGTTATTCCGGCTGCGCACTTAGACAGATGCAGTGAGTCTATTATTATGGAGCCGAAGTTATTCCGACTGCTCACTTCGGCAAATGTATATATATGTGCATGTGCATTGTTGTCGAGTTTGATATCTTTGTTGCATCATTTCACTATTGGCATGACATGAAATGTATTTTATGATTGACGGGAATTATACTTTATTTTAAAATGTATGGAATGACATATTTCACGTTAGTTCTTAAAATGGATTTAATTCTAGGCTGCTTTTAAGAAAAATATTTGTTTCAGGTATGCATGGCACCTCCGGGACAGGGGACGTCTCGGGATATAGAAAGAGTGAGTGAACTTACATCTATTGTATTATATGTAAATTTTTAACCAGAAAAACCTCTTGTTTAGGAGTGTGTTTTGTAAATATTCATAAATCAGATTTTGTTATATAATAATGCGCTTTTATGGTTAATTTTAGCCTTATGACTGTATTGTGGGGCCCGAGGTAGGAGGTGACGACCTCATGATGCAGTATGGCGGTAGCATTTTTAGTATGAGCCAACTGAAGGTGTTACACATAACCATAACGTGAAAAGTCATCAATGAAATTGATGAAATATTTTTCGTTTCCAAAAGAGAAAACATCAAATGGTCTGCAAATATTAGTGTGTATTATTTCAAGAAGTTGTGTGCTTTTTGTGGCTCATTTCTTTGTGTGTTTTGTTTGTTTACCTATTATACAATCCACAAAAATACCAAGATCAGTGAAATCTAAATTCGGAAGGATTTCATTCTTCACTAATCTTATAATTCTTTCTTTGGAAACATGCCCCAAACGTTTATGCCACAAGTAAGCAGAGTTTTTATTCAATAAACCACGTTTAGTTCCAACATTATAATGCATGGTTAAAAAGGTTTCAGCAAAAAGGTTGTCAAGTTTGAATTTGTAAAGACCACTTTCAAGAACACCAGAACCAATTGGATAATTATTTTTAAATAAAGTGAAACAACCATTGCCAAAATTATATGAATATCCAACATAATCGAATTTAGAAATAGAAACCAAATTGTGAAAAACGAAAGGTACATAACGAGTCTCAAATAAATCTAAATGGTGTCCAAAATCTAAAATTAAACGGTAGGTTCATACGGCTTCAACGGGAGCTTTGACTCGATTTCCCATAAAAACAAATCTTTCATTTGGCTTTGTGGTTTGGATCGTAAGGAATCCCTGCAAGGATTTCGAAACATAAGTGGTACAGCTAGAATCAATCCACAAAGTATTATGAGGAACTTCAATAAAATTTTATTCGAAAGATACAAAAGCATTAGTACATTTCTTTTCGAACCAAGCCTTTCGTTTCAGGCAATCTCTTTGAAAGTGTCCGGATTTACCACAAAAGTGACACTTGACATTATTGAGTTCCTTCTCCGGGGCTTAGGCAGACGACATATTCACTTTCAATGGTCCGCGCTTGCCCTTCACTTTATTATTCCCAACTTTCCTACCAACTCCTTGGTTGGTAATAAGATGAATGGAATGAGAGCCCTGATTTTTAAACCATGTTTCCTCTTGAACTAGCATACTGTAAAGTTCATTCACATTCCATTTATCTTTCATGATATTATAGTTCAGTTTGAACAGACCATACTCAGGGGGCAGTGAATTCAAAATAAACTGCACCAGAAAGTTATCATCCACATTTATCCCTAAGGCTTTCAATCTTGCTGCCAAGTTTGTCATTTTGACGACATGCTCATGAATGGATCGCGAACCATCAAACTTTATGGTGCTTAGCGTAGCCATTAGTGTCCCAGCGAGAGACTTATCTGCAATTTGAGAACATTCCCCAACTGCTTTCATAAATTCCTTAGCATCATCGATTTCAGGAAAAGTAGACTTAATGTTGTTCGCTATACTCATTCACATAAGCATCAGACTTAATCTGTTCGATCTCTCCCAAGAATTATAGAAAGACCTTTCACCTTCGTTGCTAGTATCAGTAATAGCAGGAGGCTTTTCAATATGGAGTGGTAGGTCAAGATCTAAAATACCAAGTTGAAATTGAATGTGCTAAGACCATTCGGGATAATTGAGCCCATTAAATATAAGAACAAATGATGCATGCGAATGAAGCTAAGTGGGCACAGCTACTGCAAATTAAAATAATTGAGAATTTTCAAATCAGATTCAAGGCAAAAACAATAAATGTAAGTTGTAATTCTCCTTTGGGTGAACAACAATGTACTAATTAAACATAATTGACGCTAACATAAATCGCGCTTTAATTGAACGTGCATGTCATCTTTGGATAATCTTGCACATTTAATAAAAGTACTTAAATAATTTTCAATCATGTTATTAATTTTAAAATAATTGATCTACCTTTGGGTTGATTCTAAAATATCTTATAATTAATGAACTTTAATTTACCCATTATTAAAACATAATGTCATAAAAGCGTCACATTCTAATGAGTAATTAAATTTTGTATTTAATTTAATATCTACACAAATATCTTTCTAATCTGATCACTTTGGTGATTAACATATTATTCATAATTTAGATATTAAATTAAATAATATATTCAAATATATCTAAATTTATTTAATATATTTCTAATCTAATCACTTTGGTGATTAACATATTATTTATAATTTAAAAATTAAATTAAATAATATATTCAAATATATCTAAATTTATTTAACATCTTTCTAATATGATCACTTTGGTGATTAACAGATTATTCATAATTTAAACATTAAATTAAATAATATATTCAAATATATCTAAATTTATTTAATATCTTTCTAATCTGATCACTTTGATGATTAACAGATTATTCATAATTTAAACATTAAATTAAATAATATATTTGAATATAATTAAAATAATCTACAACCATAATTATGTATTATTTAAATAACATACAACAACAAAACAAAGTTCTATCACGCAGTATGGTAGATCCAATAGTCACGTTAATTAATTAATGCAAATTCTATTAATAAATATATTATTAATCTTTACTTTATTTAATGCATAACAGTTACATAAATAAATCACGAATTCCATAAATTGAGGGATGTTTATTCAACTAATTGTTGATAACTAATCTCATGATATATTATTATTAAATAATATCATTAAAGATAATGATTTAATTAAAAGCATACACATATACGCAGAACATATCCCTGGATGATTTAAATTAACAATACTATTCGCAGAACATAACATATACACGTATATGCACAATAATAATAATATTCACATATTTCAAATTAATTTTCAAAATCATGAAGTTTTCAAAAATATATACATATCATTATTTAAATTATATTATAATAATAATTTTATAAATAAAACTTTCGCAAATCAAACATTTAGATCGTAGCGGAAAAAATCTAACCTTACATAATTCTAACAATTAATCGGAGAATTCACAAGTTCAAAACCATGCTCTGATACTACATGTAAGTTTAAAATAAAATATAATCGATTTCAATTCGCAGACCTTAAACTTTATAATTCTCACAAAATCAATGAAATATGTATATACTACATACTGACCTTAGATGGAAACCATTCTCGCATACGGGACAATAAGTTGGGTCTTCTGGTTGGGACGATGAGCTGGATCCTCTGATTTCTCCCTCTTAGCCTCAATGCCAGAACACGTAAATTTAATTTTTGTGTATGATAGAATAGATCTGTTCTGACCTTTTATAGGTAGAGAGAGGACCAGAATCCTTTATGTTAAAAATCATTATCTCACATTTTATCAACGTGGGATAATATGATAAAGTGGTTTTAAACCACTATCAATTTTACCGGACCAAATCTATTATGATTATTATTATTATTATTATTATTATTATTTATTTTATTTTATTTAAATCATGAATAATTAATAAGTGACACGATGTCACACGTTACAGGACGGTGGTTGTGGATTTTGTGGGGGAAGAAAGTGGAGGGTGGAGGAAATAAAAAGTGGGGGAGGACGGTGATTAGGATTTCTGTTACAACAACGACAACAACAACAACAACAATAATAATAATAATAATAATAATAATAATAATAATAATAATAATAATAATAAAATTAATAAAATTACTTTCCTTCAATTGGTGGTGATGAAATTGGCAAAAGAATATTTATGGACGAATTTTTATTCCATAATCAATAAAAATAAAATTATTTAAAATATATATAAAAGATATTTATATATTGTTTGAAACATACATACAATTTATTTGTCTACTTCTATTTCTTCGAGTATATTTTCTTCTCGTTTTGGATAAATAAGAGGTTAACTTGAAAGTCCATAAACATGAAAAAAATTTTGACACTCCGCATCAATATCATTAATTATCAAACCCAAGTTCTTATTTGGTCTACCATTCAAACAAAGTTGTTTTCTCCGTCTTAATCAAGCAATTTTTTGTTCCGCTTGTATAGTATTCATCTACACACAAAATAAAAATAAATAAGAAAACATATTTATTTGATTTCAAAAGTACATGAATTCAAAAATAAAAAATAAAAAATCATAATTTCTACAATTTTTTATAAATTTGACATAATTATTTTGTATTCGCATACCTTCTTACTCTTTTAACCTTTTGTAGTCTTACAGATTAATGATGTTGAATCTACCCTCGAATTTCCCCTTCTAAGTTAGCGTAATGCTCGAGGTTGAAGATAATGCAATGAGACGAGACACAAAATTGAAAATTATACCGAATAATATTAATAAAAAAATATATATGTAATTATATATATAATGATTGAATCTTAATAACAAAAATATACAGAAAAGATGTTAGCATAATTATATACGTAGATATAGATATGCACATCATACATATATTTATAGAATTAAATAATTATATAGAATGTGATTGATAAATTCATTTGATTAGTTATGATTTAAAAAGATTTATGAGATATTATTTGATGATTTTGTCATTATTCCCTATAAAGTAGGTGAAATTATATCCATGTGTTTAGTTATTTTGTTAATTTTAGAAAAATAATTTACAAATAATTCAAAAGAAAAAGTAAAATTAGTTTTAAAATAAAATAAAATTCCAAATTTATCCAAAAAAAAGAAGAAGTAATATTACTTAAAAATTAAAAAAATTTCCAAAATTATGAGAGTGCACCAATTGAAGTGTCTTGTGCTATATATATACTAGTTTATACCCGTGCTATGCACGGGTAATTATCGAAATTGTGATATTAATTTAATTTTATATTTTAAATAATAAAAAATTTATTTTGATAATAAAACTTTGCATAAAGATAACAAAAATTAATTTATATTAAAAATAAACTATAAATAAAAAATACGGTAACTAAATCAAATAAAGAATATTAAGTACGCGAATCAAAATTCCATAAATATATATATATATATATATTCTAATTTAAATTCAAAGATAATAGAGATCACAAATAATTATTCATAGTCACTCTTAAATTAAAAATAAAAATAAATTTGAATGAAGTTTGTCGTCATTTATATATAGTTTTTAGCCTTTAGTTGAAAACAATGTTCAAACAACATACTAAATAATATATATATAGTAACGAAAAGAAAAGCAAACGAATAATATTAAATAAATTATAAATCAAATAAAACTTATATATCATTTTAATTCAAACCTAAGTTAGATTTAAAATATTTATTTACAATCTTATTAAATGAAACATTACAATAAATTTTGAAATAAATTAATATCTATCGATAAAAAAAAAGAAAAAACAAATAAACTAACAAAAGTAAAAATAAATATTGTATAGTATTAAGTAATAAAAATTATAAATTACAAAATTCATATTTAAAAGTGAAGTCAAATATAAGTTAGATTATAAATATTTATTAAAAAATCATATTAGATAAAAACAAAAGACTCAAAATTTGAATATAATTTCAATTTTCAATAAAAAAAAAACGTATTAAAATAGTAATATTTTAAACCAAATTAATTAGAAAAAATACACATAGAATAAAAATAAATAAGAATTGATTAGTAATAAATAAAAATAACAAAAAACAAATAAAAGAATGCATACAAAATAAAAATGAAAGTACTAAAATTAAAATATAGTAATTTTTATAAATTATTAAAATTTATTTAATTTTTTTTATGAATTTGCCTAATATTTTCGAATTTAAATATAATCTATAACATTAGGGAAAAATATTTTAATATAATATTCATAACCAAATCAATTAAATAATACATATTAAATAATAATGATTAAAAAATTGATTAGTAGCAAATAAAAAGAACACAATGTATAATTAAAAAATACATAGATAATAAGAATAAAAATAATAAATAAAAATATTTATATATATATATTAAAATTTACCATAATTTTCTTTATGTTTTCTATAACTATTCTTTCAAATAAAAAATTTACAAATTTAAACATAATCTAATATATTGAAAAATATATTACTCCCTCCGTCCCACATACCGTGTCTACTACACTGTAGACACGGTATTTTAGGAGGGGTGTAATTAGTATATAATTAAAAATGTATTAGTGAAAATAATTATCCTATAATATAAATAATTATAAATTAAGATTAAGATAACTAATAAGTTTAATTAAAATCAAAAAAATAAATTAAAAAGTTTAAAATGAGATTAAAGTGTATAATCATTTTCCAAAAAACAGAAAGTGACATGGTACGTGAGACGGACAGAAACGGCAACGTGGACATGGTATGTGGGACGGAGGGAGTATAATATAATAATTGAAATCAAATCAATTAGAAAAAACAAATACTCAATAAGAATAAAAAATATTTTATTAGTAGAAAATAAGAATAAAACAATATATAATTTTAAAAAATACATATATAATAATAATAGAGTATTAGAATATTATATTTAGAAACTAAATAAAATAGTAAATACATACATAATTAGAATGAAAAATTATTTTATATTAGTAAAAAGTAAGAATAATACAATAGATAATTTTAAAATATACTTATACAATAACAATGAAGTATTAGAACATCATACTCGAAACTAAATAAATTTGAAAATAAATATAATAAAAATAAAAAAGAATCGATTAGTAGAAAATTAAAATTAATTTAATAATATTATTACATATAATAAAATGAAATAAATAATCTTTCTACTTCTCTTATTTCTCTTCTATCTTTTTTTTCTCATTCTTTTTCTTTCTCTTTTCTTTTTAGTTTATCATTGTATGGATAAAAAAAATGAATTAGTAAAAATTTTCATATGATAAAGTTTAAAATTTATAAGTCAAAGAAAATAAATTTATTATAAAGTTTCCACTATATAAGGAAGGGTAATAAATTATATGCATAAATAATAATATATAAAAGAGACAATGATATTTTTTCATATGAAAAATCTTTCACTTCCTTTAAACGA